TCATCTTAAGTTGATTTGCTTTGTTTCCGTCTCTTCTGTGCTCTTTGCGCCTCCCATGCACCTCTTAGTGAAGCGTGGTTTCATACTTTTGGGGTTGCCGTGTCAATTTTCCCAGGCGCTTTCCATTCTGTTCAAAAGGGTTTGCCTTGCTTGTGTCCATTCTGTACTCTTTGTGTCTTCTTGTGGGCCTTGGTGTCAACAATTATCATCTTAAGTTGATTTGCTTTGTTTCCGTCGCCTTGGTTGTGTCCATTCTGTGCTCTTTGTGTCTTCTTGTAGGCCTTGGTGTCAAAAAGTTCTCATCTTAAGTTGATTTGCTTTGTTTCCGTCTCTTCTGTGCTCTTTGTGCCTTAGGTGCTTTCCACCTTTTTTAAATGGGTTACCCTTGGTTCTTTGTCTTTGTGAGCCTTGTTGCTAAAAAACTGGCTCTAGGCCCCAATGTGATTTTGGTGTTGTTGGCTTCGTATTTTTGGGTTTCCTGGTTGGTTTTCCTATGTGCTTTCCATGTCTTTTAAGTTGGCTTGCCTTGTTTTCGCCTCTTCTCAAGTAGGTTAGCCTTGATCCAGTGCGTTGTCTGCCCAAAAGCGTAGTTTCATACTTTTGGGGTTGCCGTGTCAATTTTCCCATGTGCTTTCCATTCTTTTCAAAAGGGTTTGCCTTGGTTGTGTCCATTCTGTGCTCTTTGTGTCTTCTTGTGGGCCTTGGTGTCCAAAAATTCTCATCTTAAGTTGATTTGCTTTGTTTCCGTCTCTTCTGTGCTCTTTGTGCCTTAGGTGCTCTCCATCTTTTTTAAATGGGTTACCCTTGGTTCTTTGTCTTTGTGAGCCTTGTTGCTAAAAAACTGGCTCTAGGCCCCAATGTGATTTTCGTGTTGTTGGCTTCGTATTGCTGGGTTTCCTGGTTGGTTTTCCTATGTGCTTTCCATGCCTTGTAAGTTGGTTTGCCTTGTTTTCGCCTGTCAAACAACTCTCATCTTAAGTTGATTCGCTTTGTTTCTGTCTCTTCTGCGCTCTTTCTGTCTTCTTGTGGGCCTTGTCTCTTCTGTGCTCTTTCTGTCTTCTTGTGGGCCTTGGTGTCAAAAAA